CCCTGTCCCTGCTGTGTCTCTGTCTCTGTCCCTGTCCCTGCCCCTGCTGTGTCCCTGTCCCTGGTGTGTCCCTATCCCTGGGTGTCCCTGACATTGTTCCCCCACAGAGCTGATGCTCGTTCGGACGCCGAAGATCATGGCCCATGTCCCTGTCCCTGTCCCTGCTGTGTCCCTGTCCCTGTCCGTGTGTCCCTGTCCCTGGTCTGTCCCTATCCCTGTCCCTGACGTTGTTCCCCTGCAGAGCTGATGCAGACGGAGCTGCACCACGTCCGGATGCTGAAGATCATGGCCCATGTCCCTGTCCATGTCCCTATCCCTGCTCCTGGTGTATCCCTGTCCCTGCTGTGTCCCTGTCCCTATCCCTGTCCCTGCTGTGTCCCTATCCCTGTCCCTGGTTTATCCCTGTGTCCCTGGGTGTCCCTGACGTTGTTCCCCCGCAGAGCTGATGCAGACGGAGCTGCACCACGTCCGGATGCTGAAGATCATGGCCCATGTCCCTGTCCCTGTCCCCCATGTGTCCCTGTCCCCATCCCTGTTCCTGCTGTGTCCCTATCCCTGTCCCTGGTGTATCCCTGTGTCCCTGGGTGTCCCTGACGTTGTTCCCCCGCAGAGCTGATGCAGACGGAGCTGCACCACGTTCGGACTCTGAAGATCATGGACCCTGTCCCTGTCCATATCCATGTCCCTGTCCCTGTCCCTGACGTTGTTCCCCCGCAGAGCTGATGCAGACGGAGCTGCACCACGTGCGGACGCTGAAGATCATGGACCCTGTCCCTGTCCCTATCCCTGGATGTCCCTGTCCATGTCCCTGTCCCTGCTGTGTCCCTATCCCTGTCCCTGGTGTATCCCTGTGTCCCTGGGTGTCCCTGACGTTGTTCCCCTGCAGAGCTGATGCAGACGGAGCTGCACCACATTCGGACACTGAAGATCATGGACCCTGTCCCTGTCCCTGTCCCTATCCCTGGATGTCCCTGTCCATGTCCCTGTCCCTGCTGTGTCCCTATCCCTGTCCCTGGTGTATCCCTGTGTGCCTGGGTGTCCCTGACATTATTCCCCCGCAGAGCTGATGCAGACGGAGCTGCACCACGTTCGGATGCTGAAGATCATGGACCCTGTCCCTGTCCCTGTCCCTGGATGTCCCTGTCCCTATCCATGTCCCCATCCCTGTCCCTGTCCCCTGACGTTGTTCCCCCGCAGAGCTGATGCAGACGGAGCTGTACCACGTCCGGACTCTGAAGATCATGGACCCTGTCCCTGTCCCTGTCCCTGTCCCTGTCCCTGTTCCTGGTGTATCCCAGTCCCTGACGTTGTTCCCCCGCAGAGCTGATGCAGACGGAGCTGCACCACGTCCGGACTCTGAAGATCATGGCGGGGCTGTTCCGCAGGGCGATGCTGGAGGAGCTGCAGCTCGACCCGGGCACCGTGGGGCGAATCTTCCCCTGCCTGGACGAGCTGAGCCTCCTCCACCAGCGATTCCTGGCCCAGCTCCTGGAGCGGCGCCGGGAATCCCTGGAACACGACAGCAACAAGAACTTCGTCATCCACCGCCTGGGGGACATCCTGGTCAGCCAGGTATGGAGTGGGAATGGGAATGGGAATGGGAATGACAGGGAATGGGAATGGGAATGGGGATGGGGACATCCTGGTCAGCCAGGTATGGAGTGGGAATGGGAATGGGAATGACAGGGAATGGGAATGGGGACATCCTGGTCAGCCAGGTATGGAATGGGAATGGGAATGACAGGGAATGGGAGTGGGAATGGGAATGGGAATGGGAATGGGAATGGGAATGGGAATGGGAATGGGGACATCCTGGTCAGCCAGGTATGAGATGGGAATGGGAATGGGAATGACAGGGAATGGGAATGGGAATGGGGACATCCTGGTCAGCCAGGTACAGAATGGGAATGGGAATGGGCATGGAGGGAATGGGAATGGGAATAGAAGGACTGGGAATGGGAATGGGGGAATGGGAATGGGGAGAGTGGGGAAACAGGAGCCAGGGAAGGGGGGGACTGGGAATGGGGATGGGGAGGGAGGGAATGGGAATGGGGATGGCGGGAATAGGAACAGGGAATGGGGGAATAGGAACAGACCGGGGAGCTGGGAATGGGGGACTGGGAGATCAGGGAGCCGGGAATGAGGGACCAGGAGATCAGGGAGCTGGGAATGGGGGACCAGGAGATCGGGGAGCCGGGAATGGGCAACCAGGAGATCAGGAAGCCGGGAATGGGGAACTGGGAGATCGGGGAACTGGGAATGGGGAACCAGGAGATCAGGGAGCCGGGAATGGGTGACCAGGAGCCCAGAACACTTTGGGATGGGAGTGCTAGGAGCCGGGAATGGGTGACCGGATCAGGGAGCCGGGAATGGGGGACCAGGAGATCAGGGGGCTGGGAATGGGTGACCAGGAGCCCAGAACACTTTGGGATGGGAGTGCTGGGATGTGGGGGATGCCTGGGGACAGCCAGGGGGTGTCCCTGTCACTGATGCCCCCCTGAACCCCCCCAGTTCTCGGGCCCCAGCGCGGAGCAGCTCCGGAAGGCGTACGCGGAATTCTGCTCCAAGCACAGCCGAGCCCTCAAGGAGTACAAGGATCTGCTGGCCCGGGACAAGCGGTTCCAGCAGTTCATCAGGGTGGGTACGGGGCACACGGGGGGGGCTGGGGGCTGCCCCGCTCTGGGGAGACCCCCGGGAGGGGGATTGGGGGCTCCATTCTCTGGGAGAAACCTGGGATGGGGATTGGGGGGTTCAGGTTACAGGGAGACCCCCAGGATGGGGATTGGGAGCTGCCCCACTCCGGGGAGACCCCCGGGATGGGGACTGGGGGGTTCGTGTTACATGGAGACCCCCCAGAATGGGGTTGGGGGGTTCGTGTTACAGGGAGACC